CCATACTGCAAGCATTGGCCATACTTAGCATCATCATCAAAAATAGCAAGGTACAAGTGGTTGATCAGACCACTCAAAAAAAGAGTCAAAAAATAAATGGTGAGCATACACCAAAAACTATATAGCTATCACGCGTCACCTTAACATGACCTCTCATCGATTCAATGGCCTGCCCAGCCCACAAACCTCTGGGAAGGGGCTGTGCACAACAGGATGTAGCTCCAGAACTCACAAAACACACATTCCAAAAATGGAGGCAATCTTGCTTTGATTCACCCGTCCGCTGAGGACACTTACAACACATGTCTCAAATAATCGAAGGTTCACTGATTCAGCTCACAACCAACACCATTTTGCTTGCGCAAGCTGGCTCTTCACAGTGAAGTCACAGTGAGACAGGTCGCACTAGTTCACGTCCTCTACACAATCATCGGTTTCTTTTGGCACCTCCTCTTCGGCACCTTCATTCTCAATAGTTTCGCCCTCAGCCACAAGCTCCTCAGCCACCTCACTCGCGCCAGGCTCAGTGGGGACAGGAGCAGCAGCAGTTACTTCAGGTCCTCACAGCAACAATAATTGGAAGGGTTGGGGTTGAACGAAGCGTTCTCACATGGTCACATGGACACACAGTTTGTAAACCAACGTAACTTCGAGAGTCGGCGCTCTGACCCTTTTTGAAAAACCACTGCGCAGCCATCAAGTGCGTATTGTGAATCGCCGCTTGAACAGCCGTGCCGAATTGCCCAAATTGTTTCGCCTGGGCCCGGGGTATGATACACAGTAGAAACAGAATTGTCAATGAGGGCCAAAAACCTTTCCAGATCCTTGGCTTCATCCTCGATAAAGCTCAGGGGCACTGGATGGCAAATCCCCTCGAACGCGGTTGGGCCAAGTGAATCACGCTCGATGCAGATCATAAGCTTCTTGAGAAAGCGTCGCACATAGTAAGCTTCTGCACACCAAAGCTTGGAATGCTTCGTTGAAAGGATTGCACGGTAGTCTCCCCCAAGTGGAACAGTTGGCAGCAAAGCAATGTCGATATGCAACTGGTCGCGGCCCACGGAACCCTTTTCAGCCATGGCGGGGCCCAAGCACAAAGCATGCCAAGCAGCTTGGCACCAATGATACGCCAAAGCCGAGCTCGGGCCAAGTCAAACCAGAAACAGGAGCACAAAATTTGCAGCGCATGGTCCGAGCTCCAATCCTTGCCCTTGAGATCTGCCGAGAGTAGGTCTTTGGTGTATTTTTGCATGACCCTCACCAGGGGCACCATGTTGTGATAGGTGTCAACAGTCTGCATTGTTCACAAGGAGCCCAATGTCACCAAAGAAGTAGCCACAGAACGACCGCCGCACCAACAAAGAACCCAGAAGAAAAAAATGCCCAGCCCCAACAAAGAGCTGGAGGCGAAGTTGGATGCCCACACACAGCTTTGCGACCTCTTGCAAGGGCACTCGAGGGCCGCTGCGTGCACTATGTATAAGTCCGTGGGTGATAATTGAACAGCAATGATGGCTTGTAGTTACTGAAGCTATTCTTATGACTGAACACAGCTAAACAAAATGAACAAACTGCACCAGTCATGTTCTGCGCCAGAGCTCACCCTTGAGAGGAAGGATTGGGCACAAAAAATGTAGACAGTTTGTTGGAAAAAGCTGCGTTGGGGAATATTGTTTCTGTTTTTTTGAAAAGAACAACAGACTAAACATCGGCAGCAGTGCACATATTTAATACACAGCGGATCAACTCTACACACATCAAAGCCCACTAAGAAAGTCCAATTCCGGAAAGTGATGATGTCGTTGTTGCTGCAGTTGCCTTTCTCTGCGTTTCTTCCCCCTCTTTCTTGTGATGAGCATAATAGCCAAAGGCGGCGGTAGTGATTAGGTCGCTATTTTGTTGATGATGATACCACGTCCTGTCATTATGTGTTGTTGTTTTTGTTGTTGACACTGCTACGCTGTTTTTGTTGTGGCCTTGGTGGATGTCCTTGCTGTTGCCATTGACGTTGTTCTCCACCTCCCAGTTATGTTGTAATAGTTATTGCTGTTGTTGTTGTGGTTGCTGCTGCTGTGGGTGTTGTTCCTGCTATTACTATTTGGCTTCTGTTTCTGGATTTTGTCGTTGTTGCTGGTTGTTGCTCTTATATGCCCTTATAGTTGTTGTTGTTGTGTTTGTTGTTTATTGTTTGTGGTTGTTTGTTGTTGTGTTGTTTGTTGTTGTGTTGTTGTTTGTTGTTGTTTGCTGTTGTTTGTTGTTGATTGTTGTTTGTTGTTGTTTGTTGTTGATTGTTGTTTGTTGTTGTTGTTGTTTGATGTTGTTTGTTGTTGTTTGATGTTTGTTGTTGTTTGTTGTCGTTTTCTTGTTGTCTGTTTGTTGTTGTTGTTGTTCTGTTGTTGTTGTTGCTGTTGTTGTTGTGGCGGCGGCGGTAATGGTTGTGGTTGTTGTTGTTGTTGCCGTGGTTGTTGTGGTTGTCGGCGTCGTTGTCGTTGTCGTCGTTGGTGTTGTTACTGCTGCTGCTGCTGTCATTGTGGTCGCTCCTGTTACTGGATTCTACTGATCGCGGCTACCACTGTTGTTACTGTTAGTGTGGTCTTTGGCACTCTCTGGTTGTGGTTGTTGTCACGGTTGTTGTTCCTATTGCTGTTCTTGTCACTGTCACGGCCGGTTGTTTCATTGCGTTCGCTAGTTTCTTGCTTTGGGCTCCTGGGTTGTCGTTGACACATTGATGGTATTATGAAGCCCTGGTGTGTTTTGTATTGTTGTCAGTATTTTGTTGATTGAACATACTTACGAGGCCCACATAACAGAAACCATAAACCATCAATGTCCTTTTGAGAGCATGTCAAAAAAAAATGTAAAATCGAAACAAGAAAAGTAAAGTTAGATGGTCCTGTTGTCACAGGGTGCTCAGGAGGAGGGTTGACTCTCTCCAGAGCGGCTTTCATCTCGGCCTGAAGCCAACACCAGTCAAACCATGTAGCCTGGAAGCAAACTAGTGACTAGACCTGAGTGTGCCACCACAACACTTCGAACATACTCCCTCGATTTTCCTTCAAGCAAATGCTTTCGCCCGATCTCCTTGTATGACAAGCAACTTATAACTGTCACTGCAACACGTGTTCTTGTTGATGCTTGAGGTTTGTACAGCGATCTCTCGGCACTTTTCCGGGTCATAGCGATGGCCACCCACCTCATACAACAAAGGTTTTAAGGGAATGACCGAAGCATCAACAAGCACCACGAAAGTGCCTGAAAGACTTGGCGGTTGTCCAGCTTCACTGCAAACATTCCCGTCGACTTGTAAAGCATGATCTTCGAAATCTTTAACTTGCCTAGCGCCAAAAAAAATATCCATATCTGACACATGTGCAACGGAGCACAAAAACCATATAGAGCCTGGCCTGCTGGTTTTTTCTGAATTACAACTGGTTCAGAAGGTGGGTCCTCACCCTCTTCACCCCCGTTTGCTTCCGGCTGCTGGGCTGCCGGTCGCTTCTTGACTGCGGGAGTGGGTCCCGCTTTGGGTTTCGCTTCTTTCTTCGATTTCGGTTTTGGCGTGGGTTTCAGTTTTGGGGATGCTTTCGACTTTCCCTTGGCTTTTGGTTTGGGTGTATCCTTCACGCTCCTCTCTTCTGGGCGTCCTCGAACTGGTGCCTCCGCCCAAAGAAACACACATGGGTTCAGTTTGTTCATTTAAAGCTTGATGGAAACATCCCTGGCCTCACAGTCAGACTCCGAAAGCGCACTCACAGGCGGAAACACACTCATACTGTTCTACAGCGACTGCCAGCTTTCCAGCTTGTAACAAGAAATCCTGCAGATTTATAGTAGCCAAATCAAAATATCTTGATTTCGTTGAAACTAAATGAAAACATGCTTGCAACCCCGCTGGCCATTCTAGTGCAGCAGCAGCAAAGTTTGAACTTAAAAACACCATTGACATCAACAACTCTGAATGGATCTGTCAGACTTTTAGGGTCCGATCCGAACTGCCAGCTCTAGAGCTCCCAGGCTCAAGGCAATTTACAGCCCACAGTGATCTGTTTCAGATCTTCACGAAATCTTCGTCCAAGTGTTGGGAGGCAACTTCACCGCTGCTGTGAGATACAGCTTCGGTTTTTCACACCAATGATTCTCGGCACACCAGATCCTGTTTGGAGTGAAACCTCAATGCAACATGTCTGAGGACAAGGGTGAAGGTTGGAAGGGGTTTGACACATGAATCAAGCCACATCCCACACGATGCAGGCAGTCTTGTTTTTGGGGACTTTGTCCATGTTGCCAACGAATGCTGCACCAATAGTCCCATGCCTCCCAAACTCAATCAAAACAGCAGCTGTCCCGGGCGACATGACTAGCGACTAGCAACCTGACACCCTTGCCTTGCTGAATCAGAATTGCTCAGAGCGTTTGGCTTGAAGACGTTGCACTTGCCATTGCGGGATGGGCTCAGCGTGAACCTGTAAGGAACTGGGACTGGCTCCTCTCCTTCAGCCGCCTCCGAACATGACACCAGCACCAGCAACACAAGAACCTGTCTGTCCAAACATAAAACCATAACAAATGCATAGCAAATGTCACGTTTGGAAAAAATTATTGCAAGCTACCGGCGGGTACATCTTCTGGTCAAGCTGATGGTTGGCCAACTCGAAGTTTGCGATCCCCTGAACTGTACTGCACTTGTGCGCATACTCAGCCAAGCTCATCAAATTACGATCATCCGCCACCAAGACAAGGTCGTTCTCAAAACGGAAGCAAATTCCGGACAGCTCAGTCTCTCCAAGTGGGAGCAATCAACATCGAGTCATATCGAGTCGTGACGTGCCTCGCCCAGCTGTAGGGCGAAGCCGCCACAAAACTATGGATTCGGGGATAGCATGCTTTTACAGTCAATTTGGTGAACAAAGAAAACTCAATAGACACAACACTGGAAAAAAGATCTGAAAACCTCAGCAAGCCAATTCAACCAAAGAGCCGGCCACGATCTTTTCTTCAAACTAGCCCAAATTGAATCCGCATATTTCACAAGCCTGCAGTGAAACTTCCTCGTCAGTCTCGTTGCCGATCCACATGGAGTAATCGGTGCCCACCACGATTGCAGGCTTGACACGGGTTCCAGGACAATAAGCCTTCCTGCGTCACAGCGGTAAAGGAGTCAAACAACTTGACATGTTGTGGCACGCTGCATGTTTCAAACTTCAATCCACGGCCGTCAAAAGCGTTCGAAAACATCAGGTACCAAACCTCCGACCTAAAAGAAATGCACACAGCTGCATAGACTAGGGAGGACACCTCTCCCTCTCTCTCTCTGTTTTCTCACAAAAACAAAACGTCGACCAGCAGTGCCTCCCCACATTGAAAGAAGCCACTGGGGTGTGCTCAAGGTCAATCAACCTTGTGACATCCAGAGGCGTTTTGCCACCCTCGATGTTGAAGCCAGGCCTTCCTGCTGCTCGGGGTTTCCCGGGTTTTGGTGCAGACTGTGTCGTTCGAGCAGGAACTGAGTCTGGAAACTCTTGGCACAGCTGCTTCTTCATCTCCAACACTTGCCCATAGGCGGCAGAATGCTCCGGAAATTTCTGCGTGATGGAGTCCGGAAATGATGCCACCCCAGAATTCCAAGACAGCAGGACCAAAGTTGGATCTGGGACACGTTCAGTGGGGCGAGCGCGCGGAGGAGCTGCATCGGAAGCATCCCAATGGGTATAAACCATCTCCTCAAGGTTCGCAATGACATCCTTCTGATCTGCACGGAAACACCCACAATACCTCACTTGTGGGCGGCGTGCGTTTGCGTCCAAAGCACGGCTCACAGCAGCCCTGGCAAATTCCGCCTGCCTGTCAGGGTCACTGTGAACATGGTGCGGCAACGCCATACCTCTTTCTTCAACTTATAATATAGTGGAAGTATTTATCTACAAAAAGTAACCCACTGTTGTTTAGAAGTTTAGCCAATACTTGCAGCCTGTTGGGCAAGATGTCGGCAAAAACCACAAGATCGTTCTCCTCGAATTTCATTCCCCGCAAATAGGTCGTGATCACTTCCAAGTGGGCTGGCACTCCCTTCCTTGGTTGTTTGTTTGGGGATTCACACGGAAAAGAAATGCTTCAGGCAAAAACGACTTGATCAAAAATCACAACACTTACACTAAACCAGAATATGCAAGGGGCTGTTCGGTTCTTTGCGATGCTCCTGGTCGGGCCTCTGTGTCAAAACCAATCATGTCTGCCACACGGATAAGTGGACAGGGTCCAATGGATCGGGATTGAGCAGCTGCACTCTCACACCAAGCATTCACATCTTGGCATGTAGTGGATGTGACAAACAAGCACGGATGCCATGGCTCACGCTTGTCTCCTGCAGGAAGACTGGACTTGTCGAAGCAAAGCGAGACCGTCCTCATGATGTCCAATCCATTTGCAACCAAAGCATCCTCCAAAGCTCGGCGGTGCTTCACAACAGCATTGGAATGCGTTTGTGCTTGAGGCAACGGGAGCTGAACATGTGCTGCATTGGTCGGCGCCACTGCCAGCAGGGAGCTCAATGCATTGATGCATGCCTGGAAGTATGCTGAATTGCTTGGCCACACACAGCAGTCAAGCCCTGCCAGCACAAACCTCGTTGCCCGAGTCTCTGGTGTAAAAACAAGTTGATGTTGTTACTGTATGTTTGGGTCAGCCAAGACTGAGAGTTTCTTTTGAAAACATAAACTCCTACCGGAAACATGGCTCAAAGCTTGGGCGCACTTTGCCACCTTCTGACTGGGATTTGGAAATGAACTGCGCAATGTCAGAGAACATCACTGGATATTGCCCTTTGACCTCTGAAGGCACAGGCAGCAAAATGATCTTGCAGTTCTTCTCATGAAGTCCTTGGTGTAGGCTTGCCCCTTCCTGACAAACACATCTGGCTCGGACATTTTTCTTGCTCTTGACACGCAAGCTTTCCTCTCCAAAGCTTGCCAAAAAAAAACACAAAGTTGGGAAAGTCTCGGGGAAAAACAAAGTGGACGCTTGAACAAGGCTTTTGAACAATCTGAAACCCAAATTAAATTTATGTGAGCGGCGATTGTCTTTGTGACAAATACCTGGCGTCCAAGGCTGCCTCCTGGGCAGTCGCGTTCAGACTACTGGCTCGTGCCCGCAAGGCTTTCATGTCTTCTTCAAACTTGTGCTTGATCTCTTCAACCGTGGCTGCCGCCGCATTTTCGGCAAGAACACGTCGTTTTTCTTCAGCTTCACGCAAGGTGCGGACATTGACAGAAGAAATGATATTCCTGCAGAAAAGCAGCCACAGCATCCCTAGTCTATGTCACATTATACTAGACATGGTATATTATATATATAACCTGTTTCAAAACTTTGGCCTATACACACTGGCAATTTTCCTCTTGGGTTGGCCAAGGACGGGGCCATGATGCAAGAAATGCGGGCCCCAAACCGGCGTTCTT